AGATTGGATACTACTCAGTGGAGATTCTACCTTCCACCACACCCTTTGGATCTAGGCTCCGTCTTGAAAGCTTGTAAGCCAGTCACTTCTTGCCTTTGTAGCCCCTCCACCCACCATTTTGGTTAGCCAGTGTCCAAGTTGCCCATCCCTGTCTACCCTGTGCATTGAAGGGGGTGGGAATGGTCCTCGCTGTAAAGATTTGTTCCCTCCTTTGAGCTACTGCATCCATAGGTGTAGGTCAAGTTCCTCAAATTGTATTAGATTACTCATTTTTCCTCTTCTTTATTCTTCTAGTAAGAGGTTTGATCATTCAGCCATTGAAGCCAAGTCAAATGATTATTATCTGCAAGTGTGGGTGTTCTTGTGCATATGCCTTCACTTCTTATCATTTGGATGCTTCACTCTCCACTGTGATCCTCTGTGGCTATGTCACTGACTCTGGGCCCAGAAGTCCACAGGTCTTGCCATACTTCTGGGCAACCAGGTCTCCACCCATGGTCACAGGAGTCTATTGAACGTGGTAGGACTTAGCTTGAAACTTCATTGTTGTTTTTTCCTCACTTCCCTTATCAGTGACCAACATGGTCACCAGTTAGAGCACATGTCTGCTCATGTATTCTCCTTGAGTCTTAGTCTTGGAAGGGGGTTGCCCTGAGGGGACCCTACCACTTGCCTTGATGTCTCCTGGGAGAACAACTCGCTTGTCCTTGTAGTAGTCGGACTGCCATTACTGTTTTTTTATTTTTCCTGTCGGTCTTTCTGTCAAGGAGTATCTTCTGTTCTTTCAGCCACTCCAGGCTGGTCTACTTATCCTTTCAAGTGGAGATTTCCCATCTCAGAAGATTCTGTATGGGGTTCAGGATTCCATCTATGGTCTTATGCAATGCAAAGGCTCTTCAGGAACTCTCCTTCACTGGACAAATTGTGGCCCCGTTTTAGGTATTCCAATCAGTTATAGGCAGAAGATAGACTTACAGGCTTTCTACTTTCTTACCTTCTTAATTATCTTTTGCTTTCTCCCAGTATGATGTCCTTGTTGTCATTCTACAACTCTTCTGGTCTTTGGTCTTTAGTGTCTAATGTGTGAAATCTGTTCTTCAGTTGATCTCTAAATTCAAGTGGGACACATTGTTCAAGGTCATATTTTGGCTCTTGTGAACTTGTTTTAATTTTCTTTAGTTTCAGCCAGAACTTGTTTTGACATTAAATTGATGGACTTCAAAAATTTGAATGCACAAAATTTCTGGCAGAATTGTGGTAGATAAACATTTTAGGCATACCATTTCTCCAGTACATAGACGAAAACTAAAACACTTTTGAGTAATGACTTTAATACTGCTAAGGGAATAAATACGTGGACTAAAAGAAATTTCCATTGACATTAAAAATATTGATAGTTAACCCATAACCTAATACAAGAGCAGATGGAAATGGATTGTGTGAGTTCCAATTCATTAAGCAAAGTGACACTTTATTTTCTAGTCATTTTAGTTCAGGGAACTGAAGTGCTGAAATAATATTATAAATGCAGCTACTTCTCACTTTGCTGAATGTGGAATATGGAAAGCAAAATGCTAGAAAGGATTTAAAATATCTGGTAGCATAACTTTCTTATTTCTGGAAAAAAAAATGATTTTACGATTTAATTGTTATCACAGTTTTATCTCTGAAAGTAAAGTTCTGGCTCAGTCATCTGAGTTCATGAGGAGGCAGGTCACCAAACTTTGTGTTTATTACTATAATAATGTACTATCTCACTTTCCTAACTTTTAACTTTGTACGTTGTTGTTAAGTGCCGTCCAGTCGTTTCTGACTCAGAGACCCTGGATAGGGTTTCCAAGGAGCAACTGGTGGGTTTGAACTGCCAATCTTGTGGTTAGGACTCCAGTACTTATCCTGTAGTACCATATACAAGTAATAAGCTTGTTGCTAAACTTTGTATTTTAATATGAATATTACATATTTGCCTTTAATTGCTGCTTAGACGACTTGCTGTTTTTGTGAAAACAGATGAGCATATGTTTCAAAGACTTTTATAGACAGTGAGTGTAATAGTAAAAAGGTACACTTCCTGAAAAAGGTTATTAGTAAGAGGTCTTTGGGTATATTGATGATAATATATCTTGGGTTCTTTTGAACTTATGGAATTTCTGTTTAGATTCAGTGTAATATTTGAAATGATGTTAATGTTGAGTGACTGTTTCAAAGCATTTAAAATCTCAGAATTCATTATATTTAGTTTTACTTGCATATCTGTTTTATAAATCTTGATGTGATCTCAACATTACCATTTTACCTTCAGCAAATTTACTAACTAGCTTAGATTTGTACTATTTTATACCTTTGTTGTTGTTAGGTGCTATCGAGTTGGTACCCACTCATAGCGACCCTATGCACAACAGAATGAAACACTTACCAGTTCTGAGCCAACTTCACAGTTGTTGCCATGTTTGAGCCCTTTGATGCTGCCACTTTGCCAATCCATCTCGCTGGGGGTCTTCCTCTTTTTCTCTGACCCTCCACCTTACCACACATGATATCCTTCTCCAGCGACTGGTCCCTTCTGACAATATGTCCAAAGTATGAGAGATGAAGTTTGGCCATCATGTCCTCCAAGGAGCACTCTGGTGACACTTCTTCCAACACAGATGTGTTAGTTCTTTTGGCAGCCATGGCACTGTCAATATTCTCCTCCAACACCATAACTCAAAAGCATCAATTCTTCTATGGTCTTCCTTATTCACTGTCCAGCTTTTGCATACATTATGAGGTGATTGAAAATGCATGGCTTGGGTCAGGCATACGTTAATCCTCAGGCTGACATCTTTGTTCTTCAACACTTTAAAAAAGTCTTGTGCCGCAGATTTGCTTAATGCAATACGTCATTTGATTTCTTGACTGCTGCTTCCATGAGTGTTGATAGTTGATCTAAGAAGAATGAATTCTTTGACAACTTCATTCAATCTTTTCTTTGTTGCTAAGAATGTTGTTTATTGGTCTAGTGGTGAGGATTTTTGTTTCTTTACATTGAGATGCAATCCATACTGAATCCTATGCATTTCATACCTTAGATATTCATTAATCTATTTTATTAAAGCTTCCTAATTCCTGTTCTTTAAAAGTACAGTTGTTTAATTTTGTACTTGACATAGTACATTTCATGATGATAGTGATAGCTGCACTAATGCAACAGATCATATTGCTCGATCATTTTTGTATATTTGTTAAAATTTTTTTCATTTGTGATGTAAAAAGCAAAATTAATGTTTTCATAAGTGTTATCAGTAAAGTGTAGAGAGAATAATCTGACTCCCATGCCAAATAACCCTTGCAAAGCACAGTTGAGTTATTAATCAGTATCAGTCTTGTATATACTGGTGAAGACAAATTTTGGTTTCTGTTTGTTGTTGCCTCATGTGTTCTTTGAATTTTGCTGTATAAACCGATTTCCTAATGTAATGTTACTGCAAGAGAAGGTTTTATTAAACTTGTCATCTTTTTCTCTGCCGCAGTATGGTTTTAGATGATCTAAGCAATTCATTATGTACAGCGCAAATAGATTTGTAGTCACAGCCTCATGCTGAAAGGTGTTCTTGGGAAGTTTGCATTAATACCTCTGACTGGACCTGTGTCTCCATCCACTGCTTGATTGCTGTTATATGCCAGTTATGCTTTACTAAGTGTTATACTTTATTTACTTGAAATACCTGGTTAAGCATTTGGCTGCTAACCAAACAGTTAATTGTTCAAATACACCCAGTTGCTCCTCCAGAAAAAGACCTTGCGATGTACTCCTTGAAGATTACAGTCAGTAATCTTCAGTACAAGATTACAGTGAAGAAATCGAAAGGACAGTTCTACTGTTACAATGGTCATGAGTCGAAAATGAACTTGGACACCAAATAGCAATAACATCCATGTTTCACATAAGTTACTATACATTGATTCTAGTTGATAATAAAGGGAAATTGTTAAAACTATATCAGTAGAAAAACTTATTTTTTTACTCAAGATTTGGATAGATACAACATTAGTGACCATTCTAGGATGAATTCTTTGTTTTTCTTTCATTTCCTTTGAATTTTTCTATTCTTAGCCTCTTTTCAAATAAAGGTTGCATTGGTATTTAGTAGTTTAAAAGATAATATGCTTTATTTTATATATTGTGAAAAACTTAAAAAAAATGTTTATGTATTATGTATACATCATACTGTAATTTATTGACAAACTTCCTTTTGTTAAAATTAAATATACCTACTCCTCACTGAGGGGCTCTGGTAGCATAGTGGTTACGAATCGGGCTGTGAACCTTAAGGTCAGCAGTTCAAAACTACCAGCTGCTCCGTGGGAGAAAGAGGAGGCTTTCTGCTCCCATACAGATGTACAGCCTCAGAAACCTTGTACAGGGTTGCTGTGGGTTGGAATCGACTTGACAACACACCACAACAACAACAACACTTCTCACTTATTGACATGATTAGGTTCCAAAGAAAGTGAAGAATTGTCATGTTAGATCACAAAATGGAGAATGACTACATAATTATATAGGTACCAAGTTGCATCATAACAAAACAGCTGAACCACTAAGAAAAATGGGGCAGCCAAGTTGGCACATACCTTAACCATCACAGCCAGCATTGCTTTCGCTTCACACCTTGACATTCATTACTGCCAAACACGTGTTATTAATGCCCCAAATAATTGGATATTGGATGTAATATTGTTGTTGCTAATGGAAAATGTTGGATAATGAAATAGTCAATAAATAAGGAGTAGATTTAACTGTTTAGTATTAGTTACTAAAGAAAGACTTTCTCAGATTGATTATTGTTTATAATGGATTAGATATCATTCCATAATATTTAAACATATGAGTGTCACTTTATTCAAACACTATTCTGGTGGCCAGTAATACTTCTTTTTAAATAACATAGTTGGTATTTCAAAGTATCTGTGACTTTTTTCCCCTCTATAATTTTGTTCCTTTTCTTATATTATAGATGCTTGTGACCACACCAGAAAAATGGGATGTTGTGACAAGGAAAAGTGTTGGAGATGTAGCTCTTTCTCAAATTGTCAAACTCCTAATTCTTGATGAAGTTCACTTGCTGCATGAAGATAGAGGACCAGTATTGGAAAGCATAGTTGCACGAACTTTACGACAGGTAAGAGGAAGTTATTTATAAACTTATTTTAAATATGTGGGTAAGCTTTTAAACTTAAAATGTAGCATTATAAGAATATTTTTATGTACGTTTCATGGTTATGAAGATAGTTTTAGTATGGAAAATTATTTAGTATTTCATTTTCATATTAAAAGTATACAGTCTTCTTTTCTTCTAAATCATATTGCTGCTGAAATCACTTTAAGTTAACCAAAATAATACAGGAAGACTTGAGTGCTATATTTGTGTTACAAAGCCAAATCTAATATTGACTAAGAGAATTAATATAGAATTTAGGAGGATGTGGATTTAATTCACTTTTATCCTCCCTCCACTTTTATTCTCGCCCTAAAAAAAATTAGAACATGATTTATATTTTTTCTGATCTGCTAGGTAAAATGAAGCATAATCTTAATTAGAAGGAATGTGTTGATGATATCTCTAGTTTGGGACCTTTGAGTTATTCATGAATAGCTTCACTGAACTCCTCTGTCACTTGCACCCACCCTATCAGGCTTCTTTCTTATATGACAATAATTTTTACTAACAAGAAAAAGAAATCTTAAAGCTTGATTGATCACCCACATTTTCTTCTCTCTCTCTTCCCCCCAAAACAGCCCCTGTCCCCTCACCATATCATACCTAACCTTTTCCCTAAAGGCCCTTTTTCCCCTCACCTTGGACTATATTTCCCTTACTCTGTAAAGTTACCTTTTCCTTTCTCCTATGTCTTTAACTTCTCCTTCTCAGTGGACACTCTCTTTTACGTGAAATAATTATAAATTTCCACCCATCTTTACCGTAATCCTTTAAACCTCTTCTTTCCAGTTGTTGTTTTGTACATATGACCTTGCTTCTTTTCAGAAACACTGATCTGTATGCACTGCTTTTCTTGTCACGTGTGAAATTGCTTTAATCTGACTGCTTCTTCAATGTAAGTAAAATGTTTTCTCCTGGACTTTCACTCAAATCTGAAAAATCAGCTTTCACCCACCCTCCCTGCCTTATTTTGATATTGCTTAGTAACACATATTCCAATATGTGTCACAAGTGGTGGTTTTAAAACAGAAATTTAATTTATCAGAGTTTTGGAAGTTAAAAGTATGAATCAGGGTCTTGTCCGTATTGATTCTTTCTGTGGGCTTTTCTCTTCACTTTCTGAGGTATATTACTATACTTGGCATTTCCTGCATACACATGAATCCTCAAATAGTGTTTGTTTTTCTCCTCAGTGTTTCTCTTGTGTCTGTTTTGTGCTTTCTGTGAATCAGAAGTGATTAGGTTTACAAGCCTATCTTACTCTGGTGATCCCTTATTAACATAGCAAAATAAATCTCCTATTTCTTAACAAGGTCATATTTATAGATCATGTTGTCCTAGTTATCTAGTGTTGCTATAATACCACAAGACAATGTATTTAACAAAATAAATTATACTTGCACAGTTTAGGAGTCTAGCAGACTGAATTTAGGGCACCAGCTTTAAAGAAAGACTTTCTCTGTCTGTTGGCTTTGGGTCAAAGTATGTGTCATCAATCTTTTCCTTGCTCTAGGAGTTTCCCACCTCAAGGACCTGGGTCCAAATGATGTGCATTGCTCCTGGTTCTTCTTTCTCAGTGGTAGTAAGCCCCCCTCTCTTCTCTACTTGCATCTTTTTTATAAGAGAAAAGGTGACTCAGGTCACACCCTAAAGAAATTCCCTTTAAATCATGATTAAAGTGTTGTATCCCACTCTAATCCACATAAATTAGATCAAGGCTTATCATGAGGGTGATTATATCATTGTTGTTGTTAAGTGTTGTGGGGTCGGTTTGGACCCATAATGACCCTGTACAGGGTTTCTGAGGCTGCAAATCTTCACGGGAGCAGAAAGCCTCATCTTTCTCCTGTGGAGCCCAACTGGTAACCACTATGATAAATCACTGAGAATCATGACTCGGCCAAGTGGACACATATTTTAGATGGACAAAATTCACTTCACACCAATCCACTCTCTGACTCCCAAAATGTATATATATCTTCCTGCATATAAAACACCTTCACCCTATGACATTATCCCCCGAATTCCTGACCCATTATAGCATCAACTCTAAGCCCCAAATTGTTCCTTCTGAATCACAAATATCGGTGAGACTGGGTGTATAGCATACTAGGGTGAAAATTTGTTTTCCATCTGTGGACCTGTGAACCCTAGCATGTAAGTCATCTTCCAGAGTACAAAAGTGAATCCTATGTAGACATTCCCATTTCAAATGGGAAAAACTGGAGGGATAAATAGAAGACTTAGTTATATGTTGTTGTTCCTTGCCATCCAGTCAATTCCAATTAACAATGGCTCTATGTGCAGAATAGAGAGAGCTACTCCATAGTGGTTTGAAGGCTATGACCTTTCAAAAGCAGATCTCTAGGCATACCTCTCAAAGGCGTCTCTGGGTGGGTTCAAACTACCAACCTTTCAGCTAGCAGATTATTTAACTGTTTGTGCCACTGAGGGACCCCATATGTTTCTAAACTATTTTTATGTATTTGTACTCCTCATGTGGATCAGCACTGGACTGCAAACTACAAAGTCGGCAGTTCAAACTCATCAGCTGCTCTTGGGAAACATATATATATGGAGCTCTGGTAGTGTCGTGATTACGAATTGGGCTGCGAACCGCAAGTTCAGCAGTTCGAAACTACTAGCTGCTCCACAGGAAAAAGATGAGGCTTTCTGCTCCCGTAAATATTTACAGCCTCGGAAACCCTATATATATATATGGAGCTCTGGTAGCGTAGTGGTTATGAATCGGGCTGCAAACCACAAGGTCAGCAGTTCGAAACTACCAGCTACTCTGCAGGAGAAAGATGAGGCTTTCTGCTCCCGTAAAGATTTTCAGCCTCAGAAACCCTGTTCAGGGTCGCTATGGGTCGGAACTGACTCGACGGCACTTAACAACAACAACAGCATATATATATTCACACACACACACAGAGTCGCTATGAGTCGGAGCCAACAAAGTGGCACACAACCACCAACACAACATTTATGTATTTAATTTACACATTCATAAGACGGGGAGTGTGGTGGCTCTGTCTGGTAAGCACTGGTCTGTGTGAGCCAAGCTGCCACTTCACTCATCAGGAGAACGATCAGGCTTTCTGCTCTCACTAAGATTTGCAGCCTCAGAAACCCTATACTGGGTTGCAATGAGTCAGAATGGACTCAACAGCACTTAACAACAATTCATAAAAAGAGTATCTTTTTCATCCATTTGGGCTTTTATTACCTAATTATTTCTTAGATCGGGCTCATGACATTTCTCATTTGGCCTATATATAGCAACCACACATCTAAAGTAATTGTTCTTCTTGTTACCTCCTTTGTCAGTCTATCAAGGAGCTCTGGTAGTGTGTTGTTGTTGTTGTTAAGTACCGTGGAGTTGGTTCTGACCCATAGTGACCCTGCACAAGGTTTCTGAGGCTGTAAATTTTTACAGGAGCAGAAAGCGTCATCTTTCTCACATAGAACGACTGGTAATTTCGAACTGCCGACCTTGAGGGTAGCAGACCGTTTTGTAGCTAACCTTGAGATCAGCAGTTCGAAACTACCAGCTGTGCCATGGGAGTAAGATGAGGTTTTCTGCTCCTGTAAAGATTTATAGCTTCAGAAACCCAATGCAGGGTCACTATGAGTCGGAACTGACTCTACGGCACATAGCTGCCACCATCAAAATGTCAAAGTCTGTCAAAGGAATCATTCAAAATGTAAACTAAATGCAATCTAAAGAATGGTTCTTTTTTTCTACTCCTTCAGAACTCACAGTGAATTATATCTTTGGAATACTTCTTTTATTAATCCTCTTTTTTCCTTTTCCTTTGACTTTATCTTGATTTATGCCTTCATTCTTTTTTCCCTAAACTATTGAAAAAATTTTCCTAACGGTTTCCATGCTTTCAACTTTCTGTTAATTCCTTTTTCACATTTGTATCTTCATAATATTACCAGGTTATGATCATAGTGTTTCCCGCCATTATGTTCATAGACCTTCAGAGACTTGCTGCTTATTATCTTAAAAGAGTTAAAAATTTTTTATATCATTAAACGCCGTACCTAATTTTAACTTTTCCATATCCTTCAGCTATCATAGATTCTAGTCTCACAAACTGTTCTTTTCTTACTTTCTTTCATTATGCCTAGTGGCATAATATACTACTGCCCCTTTTTCAAAGTTAAAACTCGACTTCTAAGGTAGAATGTGTTGTTGGTTGTGAGATTAAGAGTTACAGATGTCAAGTTATATAATGCCCCTTCCTCTATTAGAGCTCTGGTTTGGTACTTTATCATTCCATAGATGCAGCTGTGGAAAATTTACTGTTCTTTTGAATTGTGCCCCATACTACTTTTTTTCCCCCGAAACTCTTATAGTCCTTCAATCAAAACGGATTACCTTATTCTCTACTGGCTTTGTACTAACATTGTTTGCATATTTTTTACATCTGCCACAGTCCTCCTTAGGATTTTTTAGCATTCTCTAGTTTACATATCTCACTAAATTTTATTCTCCTTGGCAGAAGGGTTTCTCATTCTTCATTTATTTCCAGAATACTAGCCTTGTTCTGTATCAGTTTTACTAAAAAGCTGCTTTTTATTCTTTTCTAATTTGTGATTACCATATATTCCCAGTAGATGGCAGCGTTTCACATAGCACTTCATCATTTAATAGCTAATACACACACATAGGAAGCTATTCCACTACAGTGTAGTTCTTGTTTAAAATCAGAAATTGCATGGTAACATTAGGGAATAAATTCACAGCACACTTGTCATGATTTAGAAAAATGCGAAAATTACAAAAGCGTAAGAAAGCTCAGATCTCTTGTATGAGGATAAGTCAGAAACTTCTGTTCATAATACACATGTGTTAAAGTATGTTTTTGCAATCAGTGGATGCCTGCAGACAAGTTGACTCAGTAATGCACTTGTTGTAGCCTCTTTATTGTTGTTAAGTGCCATCAAGT